GAGTTTAAATGATGATTGTCATTTAATAATATGGGCCTTGGAGTATCTAAGGCACATTGAATATTTTTAACTTAAAGGCATATTTAAAAGCAAACAAAAATACCATGCAGTCAGAATTTTAGGCAATATTTTGTGCCAAAAAATATCATGCAGACAGAATCACAGGCAAATAGACATCTTTTTGAGGCAACAAAATACCATGCAGCCAGAACAGGGCAATGAAAAAATGAAAAAGAGACTCAAAGGATTCTCAGACTCATTGTTAAACAGCATATCATAAATTATGTCAAACAGCATATGATATGCCGGTTATGTATAGCTCTGACGCAAATTAACATTTTTAGTCTTAATTGTAAACTATGTGCAAACAAATCAGATAAGGCAACCTTGATTTTGGAGGTAAAGTTAAAAGGAACATGTGAAGGTCTTGTTACGACCGTTTCTCATTTTTTTAAATCGTCGTTTCGTTTNTAAAAACACAGAATGTACTTTTTTAAGTTGCCTCAAGACACTGAGAGGTAAATAAGTAGTTAATATTATTCATGATAATTCATGCTAAATCATGTATTTCCTCCGCCATTTTCTGCAGTTTGGCACCTCACGTCACATCATTTTACCGAAGTCAGCCCTATAGCTTCGGCGCAGTACCGATCACTGACGTTTGTCAACAAAACTTTTGACAAACTTGCTTGACTCTTGAGACAAGCTAAATTACACCATATTGTTAATGACATTGACCATACATTTTTTTAAATACCTTCGCGAAGTAAAACTTCTGTACGTAGTACTTATTATTATTCTGTGGTAGTAGGTAGAAATCAATCATCGACCTACACAATAAAAAAAGAATTTCAGTACACGGAATTTCTATTTCCATTTTATTTCATGTAGTGAACACTACGATAACGAACAAATAATCGTCAGAAAATTAATCAATCACTTTACCCAGAATATACAAAAAGATGCCAACCAATTTAGGTAAAAAACTAGATTGATTACCTAAACTGTTTAGATATTTATTGACTAGTGACCTGACTGGACCTGACCTTCAGAGCATTCCAAGTAACAACGTGCCATCGAGGTCAGCACGGAGTTAGTTAGTATGCCAAACAAATTAATGTTATACTATATTTATATGTTCCCGACTCGCTCTTAGTACAGCCTACAAATCAGGCAGTGGCACGAATGTTTTATTTTCCTTTTAGGTAGGCAGACGTTCTACACTAATATTATAAAGAGAAAAAAATTGATTGTAAAAAAAGTATTTCCCTAAGAATCCTACATTTCTATGAACATACATGGGGGTACGAAGTTTACCGAGGCAGCTACTTAGTCGTAAACAAATTAGTGTAATCGCCTCTCGTACAGGGTTACTAGTAAGAATTAGTATTCCATGCTTTCTTAGATTAATCTCCCGAATTAAAAAAGAAAAGACACACTGTAAAAGAAATCCACCTGTAAAGGGAGACTGCAAAAGATTGGGAAATCCTGTATTACAGCAATCGATTATCACGCTTAAATGTAAGATCTAATCTACTAAATCAGATAATAGTTACGTGACTGAAGTGAAAAACGTAAAGCAGTGAATTAATATCGATACATGATAGATACGAGTATAACCTCAATGTAAGATAACTTCGAGAGTCCGTTTATGCTTTGGTTATTTATAACTCGGAGAAAATGCTTTAGACACACCTACATGCGACAGTGGCAACTACAGGTTGTGTGGGACTCTCTTGACGAGTGACGTCATGCGCCGTCAGTCATCAAATTGGATATGTCAACGTGAAATTGTGATCTCTGTCAGTTTATAATATAATGCGTTAGATTGTAAACTAACAGTGGGTTAGGTTAGGTTAGATTGTAATTTAACTACGTCAGATTATAATCTGACAGAATTCACAATTTTACGGCGACAGATATGAACCATCCGACTGCGAGGCCCACACCTTTCATTATTTCGCTAACTTTGCCTTCAATGATTGAGTTTTTATTGGCAGCCAAGCAGTATACAAGATATTGCAGCAGTGGAAACAAGAGGTTTATTTTTCTGTATTTTTCGCTAATGGTAAGACGGAAGAAAGATTATTGCAGTCAGATGATAGATGCTTAATGTTCAGAGTCCAAGAATTGACTGAACCAACAGAGCTTCGAACCCGGGGCCTAACTCTATAGTGTCACCGCACCATACGTTACATCTTAGATCAGGGTTTCCCAAACTACTTATGAGTCTTCGCGAGCGAAATTTCCTATAGGTGGGTCCGAGTTTGGGAACTTGTATTAGATAAGTCGTAGCTCAGACAACTTTGGGAACCACTGTCTTAGATCAACATCTGACCATCACCATATGCTCTCAAAAATATGACCAGTCATGAACTCATGAGTAATTGGGTATATTACCAATGGGATTCCCGTCTTTAAATAAGGCAGTATTTCGTTATTTTTGACTTGTGGTTAAATAATGAAATTAACTCAAATCAAGTGGGTTATTCCCGTCCATACTGTCATGGCGGGTGGTATTAGTCAAATAATAGTGGTTTGGTTATGGGTTTATTTTAAGAAATGGATCAATTTAGGGCAGATGATGATGAAAATAAATATGCAGATTATTGCAAAGCAGTTGATGATCATTTAGGAGGTTCAATTTCAAATATTCTAGGGCATTGATATCCTTTTGGGGAGTCCCCCTAGGCATCGAATTAGTTTAGATTTTAGAACATGAAGAGTCATAAAAGTAAATCCTATCTGCTTTTAAAATGCACTTTTACATGCTGTACCATCATCACCGTTTGTTTAAATATCCAACTTACTTCGTAGCTGTTCTTAATTTTATAGACGAAGCTATTCAGAATGGCATAATAGAGCATTCTACTAATTACAATAAATTGCTAATGGTCATACAAAAACTGATACAAGTATTTTACAGTTGTAACATCGCGGTAAATATTGAGTTACCGTGGGTAAATAACCGCAAGGATGTAACCACGAAAACGATACATGAACGATTTTGAACAGAATCGAACTAACTTCGCTTCGAAATAGGTTCGTTTCACTTACTCACAGCGGTATTAGGGCATTTTGGCAGCTTAAAATAATTAAAAAAAATAAGATTTATGTCTCAAAAAGTTAATTCCCGTCATTACTCAGACCATCTGGCTTAGTTCGTGCACCGGAATAGAATGCTAAAGGTCGCGGGTTCTTTCCCGGTACTAGGTTCGAGCATATAAATATCCGTTTGTGTTAGGTGTCCTATGTATATCACGTACCTATGTAAAAATACGTATGTATAGATTGGAACTAATTTATTTAGTTCGACTAAATCACAACTAAATGGTGATAATATGTTAAATATCGAGGATATTTAATTAATAAATTTTTCCCGGACACGAAGTAGGAACATTATGAATAGTTAAAGTGACTGAGGAAAATGATTACCTACCTACATTATGTATAATTAGTTTGTGCAAGAAAAGATAATAATTTAATTATAGTCACTACTCACTACTAGCAATTTTGTTGGTTTAAACGCGAAATGAAGCATTATTACATAACTGGTTAATTTTAACGTGTTTCGTTTAAAAGGACATTGGGAACTTTAATATGAGAAAATGCCCCACGGCGGACAAAGATGAAACGTATTTTATTTCAAAGCTTTATACTTGTAGGTATATTCACTTAAAGCGCTATGTTGTGATATATGGGAATTCTGAGATATGACGAGTCTAAGTTACCAATAAAAGTAAATAAAATAATATAAATAAATAAAAAATATAAAGAAAATAATTTAAATAAATAAAATATTATAAATACTTAAATTAATATTAGACAACATCTCATTTACTCCAACCCAAAATAAGTAGCTAAGGCATTTGTGTTATGGAAATCGGGAACGACGAACCACAACACACCCAAACCAGAGACAATGTGAAAAGATCGTTTTCTATATTGTCCCGGCCGGGAATCAAACTCAGGATTGGCCCGGCACACCTTGAAAACCGGTGTGTGCGCCTCTCCGCCACCGAGGTCGTCAAAAATGTTACCTAAATGTAAAATAAAATAAAATATTAAAACTTCATTTTCTCAATATTCCCATATAAGAGAGAAAAAAAAATGCACGGAAATTCATTGGATATTAGTATGTATCATCTGTGAGAGGTTTCGTTTGTGTCCGCTACTTTTCGAAAAGTGGGGCAAAAAGTTCCCAATGTCAATTGCGAAGTAGTGGACGATTGTTTGCATAAATTGCAGACACAAATGACGCACAGCCTTTTGGCTTTTCAACCGACTTCAAAAAAAGGAGGAGGTTCTCAATTCGACCCGTATGTTTTTTTTTTAAAATCCCCTTTGTTTATGTTACACGTTAATGAAACCGGTAAATATAGAATTCTAACAGTAAAAGTAAATCTTAATTAATTGTTCCAGATAGCAATAATTCAATTATTGTTTTAATTATTTTAAAACTGCTCAACTGTTACTGCTAATATCGTTATAAAATCATGTATCGTTTATATTTTTGAATTACAATAAATCAATATTATTAATTGATTAATTGTAAAAAAAATGTGTTGTCACATTGCTAATTATCTTTAGCCGCATTATCAAAAGCAGTTATTGAAGTTCTAATGCTGAATAACATTATTATTAGTAAGTACTCCGAAAAGTACTAAAAAAACGTAAAAATACATGGACCTACTCCATCTACGTTTTCAGTTAAACATTAAAACAACATACCAGACATTCTTTGGCGTTTTTTATTTCTATTTGATACACGAAAGTATTAATACCTAGAATAATATTCTACCAATATGTTACGGAACCATTCGTTATACACAATAAGACAAAATTTCGACTCGTAAAAGTTAAAGGAAATTAGTAAAGTAAACATTATGTAAAAACTCAGTCAATATCCCTTTCCGAATACTGAGGATAACTGCGGCGATTTTACTTATTTTCTTTACGAATTTAACTTAGTAGTTAAATAAAATATAATTAATACATACCTTATTCCCAACCACCATGAAAGGGAACTTTTCAATTCCATTCTTGACTCCAGCATAGTGAAGAAACTCGTTGAGCCAAATCTTGATATTGTTGAACGAGCTGCGGTCATCGATGGCATATGCGAGAATGCATATGTCTGAACCGCGATAGAACGGTGTCCGGAGGGACTTGAACCGCTCCTGGCCTGCTGTGTCCCATACCTGAAAAATTTTATGCTTAGTCTAGTCTCAATTTATTTGAAATTGCTAATAGCTACAAAAGTATATTTAGTATGCATATTATGCTCGAGTTTAAACGATGATTGTCATTTAATAATATGGGCCTTGGAGTATCTAAGGCACATTGAATATTTTTAACTTAAAGGCATATTTTAAAGCAAACAAAAATACCATGCAGTCAGAATTTTAGGCAATATTTTGTGCCAAAAAAATATCATGCAGACAGAATCACAGGCAAATAGACATCTTTTTGAGGCAACAAAATACCATGCAGCCAGAACAGGGCAATGAAAAACTGAAAAAGAGACTCAAAGGATTCTCAGACTCATTGTTAAACAGCATATCATAAATTATGTCAAACAGCATATTATGATATGCCGGTTATGTATCGCTCTGACGCAAATATTACATTTTTAGTCATAATCGTAAACTATGTGCAAACAAATCAGATAAGGCAACCTTGATTTTGGAGGTAAAGTTAAAAGGAACATGTGAAGGTCTTGTTACGACCGTTTCTCATTTTTTTAAATATTTAGTAAAACATATTAGAAGTATTAAAAAGTTTGAGATTTTGTTTTAATTTAATCATTGTTGAATAAGTTAATTGAAAATAAAATAACTGTGTGATGGAAAGTTACATCACTACATAATTTTATTAACAACATCAGGTACCTCTGTATGTTGCACATGCATAAAGCATGATAGACTGTTGATTTTAGACATGCTTAAGATCTGGTTTATTACAGCAATAATTTTTATCACATGAATTTTCAAATTACTGGCTAAACTTGTTTGAACTAACGACTCACCTAGATACATTTTAATTGTGAAATTATAGCAAATTACATGGACTAATACCAAGTTTTTAAAAAATTCCTATGAGTTTNTATGAGTTAATAATAATAAAAATGTCTTACCTGCAAAGTATACTCCTTGCCATTCACCTCTATGGTTTTATTCATGAACTCCACGCCGATAGTGTGAAAGCTGTGATCATCGAAGTGATTCGATATGAACCGGCTCATCAAGCACGACTTGCCTACACCGCCATCTCCGAGTATCACAATCTTCAACAACGTATTCCTATTCGAAGACCTGCCGTATGCACGATCATTATCCTCCACCATTCTGTTAAGTAATCACCATTATAGGCCCCAAATACTTCTTTTATTATTACAGCCTTGGAAGTTAATGCAAAATCAGACTCTTTAATTAGTGACTCATTTTTAACTGGATTTAATAACAACACACTTAGTTAAGCACTCAGCAAAATCTACTTCACATTTGCGCACCAATCGACACTTCGGCAGTCGCGTTTCGAGGTTTAAAACGGAATAAATAATTAATTTATTAATTATTTTGGAGACACAGCTGTTCCATCGCATTTACTAACGTCAATTGCGTCAATTGCCTTGCCTTCATTGTCACTTTGATTGACAAGCTTGCTTGATTGAACTTCGGAAGTAGCTTCTAATGCCATCTATTATTTTTTTATTGAACTATTAGCATATCTATTTAGTTACGTCATCCAAAGATCAATCACCATCTCACCATGCAAACTAGTCCTTTAACCCTACAAGGCACCCAGTTCCATTTGTGGAACACCGACTTTAATCGTTCCTATAGCTATAAAACTATTAGAAGCGACATCTTTTGCATCTTATTAGAAGCTACTGACATTTAGCAATGTAGTAATACGAAGTTTTACCTAAAGATGTCGTTCGTTTTTTGGTTGTAGTGCACTCAATGTGAAATTTGAATGAAAGCAGGGTTGCCAACTCTATGTATTTTTACGTAGANTACAATATAAGGGAGCGTAAGAAGTTAAGTTCTCCGTCCCCCGATAGGTGTCGAGTGCTAGCTTACCTACCTTTGTTTTGAACGCAACTCTCGTTTCATGATGTCACGTACTCACGTCTCCGACTCGCTCGACTTTATTCCGCTTTGTTTTGCGGAGGTGAGAGGACATAGTGTTGCGCTCGCTCGTGTGTATCGGTTGTGTTCAACGTTTTCCTTGATAAATCCATTTTTTGTGTGAATAAACATTGTATTTTGTACGAAAAGTGTATTCTTATTGGACGGAACTGTGTTCGTGCTCGATTTGAATTGGGAATCATTCATTTGCGCAATCGTTCGTGAGACTCGATGTCAATAAACTTGTCGGTGGTATTTTATGGGAAAGGTGTGCCGCGTCGCGTTTGTACCTGTATGCGACGGGTGGGTGTTTTGGCTGGGATGGTGTCTGGGAGGTCCGTGATGGGGCCGGTGGTGGCATGGTGCTGAGGCGAGGTGAGTGGCTTAGGTGGCGTTCGGGGCCGCAGCAGGGTGGCGCGGGGGACGCGGGCGGGGGGGCAGCGTGCATTCACCTCTGACCCGCGCGCGGGGCGATCGCCGCTCAAGGTCGGTGCGCCGCCTGAAGGTCGCTAGTCACGTGACGGAGGGTGCCGATCACCCCCGCCCCTCGCTGCGTCCTTCGCACCCTTCATGTTTCGTCTGATACTATCGTGCACAAAAGTGCATTACTTGATTATTATTATTTTATTTACTGAGATTGAAGTATCAAATAAAATGAAGGAAATCCTATCCTACTATGAATGAACTTGAACAACAATCACTTACCGAGCTCGTGCCTCTAATCTTATTAGACTTTACAATTTTGTAAATAACTTATTATTGTTGTGAGAACAAAATATTATTGAAACAAGTTGTTTGTCAACACCTTATCATTTTTATTACACTTTTCTCCGCACATAATTTTATCAATGCCAAATTAGTTACTAACCTATCATACTTTCCTAGTAACTCTCACACAGACAGAAAATAACTTGTTAACAGTTATAATAATCTTATCATCATTGTTTCGTGCTGGCGAATTTGTATTTTAGATAACGGTGCACTAAGTGTACCTAGTGGCTGTGTACACAAACAATGCACAGTTGAGGTTGAGCTGCAATTTAAAATAACAGAAATAAAACGGACGGTCTTTCAATTTACAGAGAATATAGAGACAGACATGCAGCAGTATTTTTGTAAGACATAAGTTTGCGTCATCTAAAGCCATGAATTAGAAAGAACAACTGACACTAATCCAAACAACACAGGAATGTTGGGTGTGAGAAAACACAAGGATTTACATTTACAGGATCTTATCAGAAAAGTCTCCTTGGGTGCCTTTAGTTACACTGAAGAATATCCAAATCAAACTCCCATCCAACACAAACATAAGGACTTGCTCCAAATACAAAGTATGAACCCCTCATGCAACTATCAAAAAGGGCATCAGACACCTACCAATACACCTGCAAAAAGCCATATTGATATTGGAGCAATTATTCACTTTGACGATTTTTTGCAACAAAGAGGATCATCCCAAAATTTTTCAATGATTTTTTTATTTAAAAGTCGTTTAGACGACAAATTCAGAATCAATCAAGACAAGAGTGGATTTTCATGATTTTCAGAGCCAATTTTTGACGAAGTCTCTTGAATTTTATCAATAAACTCAATCTTATCGAGTGTAAAAATACCTTGCTCTATTTTTGTAACAATCTTACCATTAAATCCAGTATTTACCGTTCGAGCTAAGACAAATGACGCTAATTATTTCGTCACAAATCCGTGGGAGGAAATGTATTGTTGATTCAAAATGCCGATTAAGTGAATATTGATATTCTAATTAAACAACGGTACCGTATAAGCTCGGACTCCGCCGTTGAGCAACGGTTGTTTGCATAAGGCTGCTTTACGAGCCGGATTAATTTGTAGACTAACTAAAATGCATGTTATTAATACAATGTTTTGTTTTACAGAGCGTTAGTCTTAGGAAATAGTTGTAAACGATCGATATATGAGACCCATGTGGAGCGAATTGATCGTAATTCGCATGTAGCATTCTTCCAAGGTAGCTGGTACTCCTCCACAAACATAGACAATGATAAAGTTTGAAGAGCATCGTCAGATATGGCTCAAGCAACTTTCACTACATTAATTTCTCATCACTAATTTTGAAGCTAATTTCAGGTATTACTTAGCACAGAATTCGTGGAAGACCAAAACAGTGTACCTACAGTGTTTTATTTCTTACTAGCTTTCCGCCCGCGGCTTCGCCCGCGTGGAATTTTGTCTGTCACAGAAAAACTTTATCGCGCGCGTCCCTGTTTCAAAAACCGGGATAAAAACTATCCTATGTTCTTTCCCGGGACTCAAACTATCTCTATGCCAAATTTCATCAAAATCGGTCGCGAGGTTTAAGCGGGAAAGCGTAACAGACAGACAGACAGACAGAGTTACTTTCGCATTTATAATATTAGTTGGGATATCACTAGGTACTGGCAGATTAAATCTCGTTATGAGCTTTAGTTGTCATCATCAACAAAGAAACATACTCAGCTGATGTCCGTCTGTTCAAGATCTTTGGACCAAGTAAAAAAAGTTATCATAATGGTTTGGCGAATACACATGTAACAAATTAAATGAGTCAATTATGGTAATGCGCTTAAATTACAGTGTACTCGCTCAGCAAGTACCTATAAAGTATTGTTATCGTAACTTTATCTTTAAACAGGCCGTTCTCCTACATCATTGGTTTAATTGCAAAATGAATGTCGAAATAGGATCTTGGCTGCTTATTGTTTGTTCGGAGCCGGATGGAATTGATTAGTTGCTGAACTACAGTAATTAGCCATTAACTGTTCGCCAGAAACGCCAGATCATGGTGTACTTCGTTCGTTTTATCGTCATCTCTTCCAGTTCGTTCACGCTTCCGCTTCACAGTTTTATTTTCTCCTGTTCAAGTCAGATAATTTGAAAAAGTAACTTTGACGGTGGATTTATTACTTCCTTCGTCTGTCGTTGCAGACTTTTAAGTCCTTTGCTGCTTCAATTTAAATCAAGTTTCATACGAACGAGTTTTAGTCTTTATAATAGCACTAGCTTTCCGCCCGCGGCTTCGCCCGCGTGGAATTTTGTCTGTCACAGAAAAACTTTATCGCGCGCGTCCCTGTTTCAAAAACCGGGATAAAAACTATCCTATGTTCTTTCCCAGGACTCAAACTATCTCTATGCCAAATTTAATCAAAATCGGTTGCGAGGTTTAAGCGGGAAAGCGTAACAGACAGACAGACAGACAGAGTTACTTTCGCATTTATAATATTAGTTGGGATTGCCAGTTTGCCAGGTGTCAGGCGAGACGTCCCGAATTCCCGATTCAAAGGGGTCTGGCGACAAGTCCCACCAGTGCATCCTCAATTGTTCAACGTATCTATTCTTTGTCTGCACCTTGATCGAATTTTTTTCAGCTTTCTCGTCTCTCTTTAAAAATGGACATCCCGAATCCCGATCACTCTATTTATTAACCGTTAGTCCTGAAATTTTACACACTGCACTTAGCAACACTCGCCTTTAATTTTGATAAGTCAAATTTNTCAAATGTACCAAAAACCTGGCGAGCAATTTTAATATTGCAATCCGCGGAGACGACCTCGAATTTTATTTCAACCAGAATAGACTTGTTTTGACGGCCGTCGTAGTCTTTATCGCTATAAAAAATGGGTTTCTGCGATTCGCCTGTTACATTTCTGAACCATGACTGTTTAATGTGGAGTTGATTAAACAATATGGCCATAAACAAATGAGCGCATGAGACAAAAGATGTGCAAAATGAGTGTACAATGTCGAGCGCGAGTGTACTCTCACTACTTTCTCGTTTGGTTGTGTGTGTGGGGTGTTCTTGTGTGCTGCGGCCGGTGACCTTGCTATCAGGCGGAAGCGCGCGGCCGCGTGAGTCAGCGCGCGTCTGCCGCCGAGTTCGAGGGAGCAGGGACCTTCGCGGTGCGGTCTATTCCCACTACCTACTTCCATTGAGCACCTATGATGAGCCAACACAACTTGTCGGGCCTCTCGAGGCGCGAACTCGCCGTTTCTTTGTTTCAACCCGTTCGAAATTTGAATTTGCCGCTCAATTTTGACGTTTTTATTTTTTATAGATTACTGACAGCCTTGGAAATGTATTGTTATAATTTATTGAAGTAGCTACAAACAATAAAAGTTGTGATCACGTACCTACCTAGTTATGGAAATAACGGAACTTCCGTAATTATAATTGAAGGTTCTTGGGTAGTTAGGTAATCTACCTAACTACCAGAATGAATCTTCCATCGTAGTAAAATACTAGGTAGGAGGAGGTATCATCCGTTACACACCGCTCTATCTAGAAATCTGATTTTTTGCACTTCCAGCATCTGTGAATGATGTCTGATGAAATTGTGTGGTGATTCACTCTGAATTTCATCAGAATTCTTTGTTAGTCACAAAATTGACCAAGCGTGTCTTGTTGCGAAACATGTAGGGTCTTTGTGGGGTTCTATCGATTCTGGTTAAACTTTGTAGGTAGTTGTT